CTGTTTCCCCAATGGGCAGAATCACAGCCTCTGAGACAGGAGTCCTCTGTACTTCTCCTTTGCTAGCCAAGTAATAAAACTTCTTTCTCCATTTTCTCAAAATTGTCTTCTCGTTATTTGATTGGCATCAGGGGCAAGGACTGAGCTTTCAGTAACACTAATGATTCGGAATTCACTATTTCTCCTACTTGCCTTGTCAAAAGTTTAAGGTAGCAACTTTTTAGACATTAATATTTGTGTATACAGACATGTAAACTCAGATGACAATTTTTTTGTGTTTGTGTGTGGTTCATGTTGGAAATCAAACCCAGGGCCTCTTGTATATTACGCAAGCACTCCACCACCCAGCTATATTGCAGCCCCAAATCCAAATCTACCATCCATTATATATACCATCATACACACACACACACACATTTTTTTTTTCTTAGAGCCTTGTTATGTTACCCAGACTCATCTCAAATTCATGGATTCAAGTGATCCTCCTGCTTTAGCATCCCCAGTACTAGGACTAATGCATGCACTACCATGCCTGGCTGCTGCTGATTCTTCTTTTTCTTTTTTTTGAAGGGGTACCAGGGATTGAACTCAGGGGCACTTGGCTGCTGAGCCACATTCCCAGCTCACAGCCCTATTTTGTGTTTTATTTAGAGACAGGGTCTCACTGAGTTGCTTAGCACCTTTGTTGTTGCTGAGGTTGGCTTTGAACTCATGATCCTTCTGCCTCAACCTCCCCAGCCACTGGGAATACAGGTGTGCACCACTGGGCCTGACTGGCTTCCATTTTTAATGAAAACAGGTTATGTTTTTTAATAATTGTTCAACTTGGGCTGGGGTGTGGCTCAGCGGTAGAGCACTCGCCTAGCATGTGTGAGGCCTCAGGTTCAATCCTCAGCACTATATAAAATAAAATAAACATATTGTGTCCAACTACAACTAAAAAATAAATATTAAAAAAAATAATTGAGCCAGGCGTGGTGGCGCATGCTTATAATCCCAGCAGTTTGGGAGGCTAAGACAGGAGAATTGCGAGTTCAGAGCCAGCCTCAGCAACTGTGAGGCCCTAAGCAACTCAGTGAGACCCTGTCTCTAAATAAACTACAAAATAGGACTGGTGATGTGGCTCAGTGGTCAAGTGCCCCTGAGTTCAATCCCTGGTACCAAATAAATAAATAAATATAATTGTTAACTTGCAATCATGTAGGAAAAACCAAAGCATTTATCTCAAATCTTATTGCTTTGCAGCTGTGGTATACCTTCCAAGGTATACCAGTGATTGAGCTGATATGGCTTTCACGGGGACAGGGACAGTAGCAAAGACCAATAGACCAAAAATGTTTTTAAACCTTAAATATATGTTTTCCAGAGAGAGAGAACTTTATCTCCAACAATCGAGAAAAGGCGCTGAAAGTTCCTGAGTCAAGCCATAGCCAAAACCTGTGTTTTTTTGTTGTTTTGTGTACCAGCAATTGAACGCAAGGGGCTTAACCAGGAGCCACATCCCAACCCTTTTGTTTGTTTCTTTGAGACAGGGCCTCACTAGGTTGCTCACAGTCTTGCTAAATTGCTGAGGCTGGCTTTGGACCTGAGCTGCTGGGATTACAGGCACAGATCAGCATGTCCAGCTGAAAACCATGTTCTTAAGCTCTTTGTTTTTCCACTTTTTTTCTTAATAAAATTTCTCCAAGGGCTGGGGCTTAGCTCAGTGGCAGAGCACTTCCTAGCCTGTGTGAGGCACTGGGTTCTATCCTTAGCACCACATTAAAAAAAAAAAAAAAAAAACCCTTAAAAAACAAATAAAGGCATGCTGTCCATCTACAACTACAAAAAAAAAAATTAAATTAAAAAAAATCTCTCCAAACTGTCCTCAGATTTAATGGGTTTGCCTCTTGGTGGGAACTGAATCAGAACAGAGCATTGAGAATTATTTGCTGCAAATAAGGTCAGGAACAATCACTCCCAGAGCTGGACCCTGTGATGCCAGGGCCAGCTGCAGGTCATTTGGAAAGGGAGTGCACATACAGAAGGGAAGGCATTCTCCCAGGCCCAGCTGGGAATGATGGCCCAGACAGTCTGACAGCATGCTCCTGTGTATTTCCCATGGAAATGAGGCTTCAGCTCTTCCCTGGGTGGAAGTTTTGATATTATTATTTTTTATTCTCCAGGCCATTTTTACTTAAAATATATTTTGAATGTATATGTTTTATAAATTCAAAATACTTGTTAGATTTTGTTATCTTTACTGCACAGCTAATAATGAAACTAGTAGGAAAACTCAACATGCTTTATGGTTCTACCCTCCAGGTGTCTGTCCATCCTCCTATCCACCTGTCCTTCACTGCCACTCATTAATAGCATGAGTATATATTGAGCTACCGTCTTAAGAAAGCACTGTTCCATTTTTCTAGAATTGTTAGGGAAATTAGAGAGAACCAAATCACAACAATACAGGAATCCAATAGATGTTGCCGAGGCCACCTCCAAGACCAAGTAAGAATAATCCATCTCAAATAAGACTTGGAAGCAAAACTACACACAGCAGTGCACATGGAAAGATAACCACTCTGCATGATTTCAAGCACTATCTCTCCTTCCCTGGGCTCTGGATCTTTAGAAATGGAGGAGAATCTCATGTAAAACAAGAGTGGTCATATGTTGCCTTTGACCTCACATCCAGTCCTTGTAGCCCTCACCCAACCTGGGGGAGGGGTCAGAAATAAGAAAGTAAGGAAACCTGGTGTGCTCAAGGGGAAGCCGACTTCAGAATTCCAACCACCAAGTAGAAAACTGCAAGATTTGCAAATAAGAAAGGAAAAACATAATGTGGGAACCTCACCAGAATGAATTAACAATGATACAGCAATCAAAACTTAGGGCTTTCTTGAATTTAAAATCATCTCTCACATGAATTCAGGACAAAAGTAACATAATCAAATCTGACTTTGAATGTTGACAGAAATCTCCCAACACCTGACCCAGCTTAACAGAACCCATAAAATTATGTTCTTTAAATGTGTGACTCTGTGTTTGCCATGCCTCCAGTGACTAGAAACTGTATCTACACACAATTCCAATTCCACTTCTCCTTGTACCTGGTCAGTCAGTGACTGCCTTACCCTTCCAAAAGCTAGGAGCTGCCTCTCACATCTGTGTTCTTTGGCATAGATTTTAAGACACACAAATGCCAGATAACATGTAAACATCATTTTTTAATTACAAATTATTTATTTTTAGAGGGATATTTTGGCAGTATTTTTATTTATTCTAATTAGTTGTACATGACAGTAGAATGCATTTTGAGCACAACTTCTCATTCCTCTGGCTGTGCATGGTACAGAGTCACTCCAGTAGTGTCATCACACATGTATATAGGTTAATAATGTCTGTCTCATTTTACCATCCTTCCCATCCCCATGGCCCCCCAAATTTTGATATTATAATGAAGTAAATTTCAACAGCATTTTCTGGTGAAAGTTAGCTTTTGGAACATATTTCTGAAAATTAATTTTATTTTAGGGCTCAGGGTACAGAATGGGGAGACGGTCTGCCTCCTGCCTTCCCCTGGCTGCTGGAGGCGAGAAGCCTGCACCCTGCCTTCTCAGTCTGACCCTCTGCTAACAAATTCACCATTGCTTTCAACCCTCCCCAGGTTTGAGGGGGAGGGGCACTTGCAGGTATCTTCTTTGGGATAAGGAGTCTTTTCTTTTGATTCTGGGGTGACCCACTCCCCTTCCCCTTCCCCTGGGCTTGGTGGGGTTTCTCTCCTCTAGAGTTTGGACTTCTTGACCATTTTCCTTTTTGGTACTGCCACGGTTGCTTTCCTTGATGTCTCCCATTGGGAAGTGCTTTCCTGGTGGGTGCCACCCTCCTGTCCCTGAGCATCTGTTAGAAGCTTTTGCATATTTTTCTCATCTTCTTTACATCGTCACTGCCCTCGGAATCGCCCTTCTTGGACTTAACACCTTTTCTTTCTGAATCCTATCTTCCTGGGAATACCTTCCAGATCACCTCTTACTTTTAACCACTGAGGAAAGGATCCAATTTTCGTAGGAGGGCCCGGGATGTGGCTCAATGCCTTTGCTTAAGGAGGAGGGTCAGGGTTCCATCCCCAGCACAGAAAATAAATAAATAAATGCGACGAAATTCTTAGCAAGAGGCCCCAATCTCTTGCACATCTTCATCTGCATCGTCAGATTCCTGATGCTGCATTATCAACAATCTTGCCATGCCTCCTGTTGAAACAGGACCCCCCAGCCGCCCCACCGAGCCTGAGCTGCTAGCTTCTTTATGCCCCCTCCCCGGTTGAGGGCCTGGGGATCAGGTGAGCCCCACCCCACTCTCTTCAAAAGGGAGCTCCGTTTCACTTTCAAGTGGGCGGGTGTCAACCCGGAGCCCAGGTGCACACCTGTAACCCCAGAAGCTCTGGAGGCTGAGGCAAGAGGATCGCAAGGTGGCACCTTAGGGAGGCCCTGCCTCAAAATAAAAAATAAAAAGGAACGGGGCTGTGGCTCAGCCATCCTGCGTTCAATCCTCAGAACAATAATAGTAACAACTAAAAACCGAGTTGAGGCGTCCAGCTACCACCGTGGCGCACTTGGAGCGTTTCCACCTCCTCGAAGGGCCCCGACACCCGGCAGCAGCCTCCTCTCGCTTCATTTCGTGGCCCTTCAGCGTTCACAGCGGCTCTGACCAAAGCCGACCCGCGCGTCGGCGCCGCGGGACGCCCCCTGACACCTGTGATTCTGGGGTGACCCACTGTGTTCTCTGGCCTAGATTTTAAGACACCAATGCCGCGGCGGGCGCGCGTGGGCCTCTCCGTCACCTAGCAACCGGCGGCGTCCTCCCAGCAGGCCCTGCGCCCGGCGCCCGGCAGGCCCTACGGCCCCGCGCGCACTACGCGTCCCACAATGCCCCGCGGCCCCGCCCCGCTCCGCGGAGACCCCGCCGGGCGGCGCCGCGACCCCGGCCCTGCGCCCGCGGCCTGGACTGCTGCGCCATGCGGAGGGCCGAGCGCAGGGGCGCAGGGGGCTCGCGGCCCGGTTCCCCGCTGCCCGACGGCCGCCGTAGCACCGAGTCTGAGGTCTACGACGACGGTACCAACACCTTCTTCTGGTGAGGGTCGGGGCTGGGGGCACCCCTGCCAGTGGCGGGGCCGGGCTGGGGCGGCGGAGAGGGCGCGCCCAGCCCTGGTCCCCCGGGGTCAGTGGCCGCGTCGGAGGGGAGGGTGCACCCCTGTCAGGGTCGGCCGGGGTCCGTGGCGGGCAGAGCGGAGAAGGTGCACCCTGTCGGGTCCCCCGGGGTCAGTGGCCGTGTCGGAGGGGAGGGTGCACCCCTGTCAGGGTCGGCCGGGGTCGGTGGCGGGCAGAGCGGAGAAGGTGCACCCTGTCGGGTCCCCCGGGGTCAGTGGCCGCGTCGGAGGGGAGGGTGCACCCCTGTCAGGGTCGGCCGGGGTCGGTGGCGGGCAGAGCGGAGAAGGGGCACCCTGTCGGGTCCCCCGGAGTCGGTGGCCGTGTCGGAGGGGAGGGTGCACCCCTGTCAGGGTCGGCCGGGGTCGGTGGCGGGCAGAGCGGAGAAGGGGCACCCTGTCGGGTCCCCCGGAGTCGGTGGCCGAGTCGGAGGGGAGGGTGCACCCCTGTCAGGGTCGGCCGGGGTCGGTGGCGGGCAGAGCGGAGAAGGGGCACCCTGTCGGGTCCCCCGGAGTCGGTGGCCGTGTCGGAGGGGAGGGTGCACCCCTGTCAGGGTCGGCCGGGGTCGGTGGCGGGCAGAGCGGAGAAGGGGCACCCTGTCGGGTCCCCCGGAGTCGGTGGCCGTGTCGGAGGGGAGGGTGCACCCCTGTCAGGGTCGGCCGGGGTCGGTGGCGGGCAGAGCGGAGAAGGGGCACCCTGTCGGGTCCCCCGGAGTCGGTGGCCGTGTCGGAGGGGAGGGTGCACCCCTGTCAGGGTCGGTCGGGGTCGGTGGCCGGCAGAGCGGAGAAGGGGCACCCTGTCGGGTCCCCCGGAGTCGGTGGCCGTGTCGGAGGGGAGGGTGCACCCCTGTCAGGGTCGGCCGGGGTCGGTGGCGGGCAGAGCGGAGAAGGGGCACCCTGTCGGGTCCCCCGGAGTCGGTGGCCGAGTCGGAGGGGAGGGTGCACCCCTGTCAGGGTCGGCCGGGGTCGGTGGCGGGCAGAGCGGAGAGGGCGCGCCCAGCCCTGGTCCCCCGGGGTCAGTGGCCGCGTCGGAGGGGAGGGTGCACCCCTGTCAGGGTCGGTCGGGGTCGGTGGCCGGCTGGGTGGGGTGGGTGCACTCCTTGTGGGTCGGGGCCTGAGACAGGGGCCCGGGTGGGGTCGGGATTGGGGTGGTGGGACCACGGGCCAGGGAGAGGACACCACTGGGTGGATCTGGATCAGGTGAGGTCGGGTCTCCCAAGCCATCAGTACTGGTGAAGCTTTCCCAGAGTCCCCTGCCTGCTCCAAGCCAGCTCAGAGAGGCTTTCCCCGGCCTCGAAGTCAATTCACACATACACACCTCTGGCATTTCCACTCTGCTGGACAGGCTTGGAGGCCCTGGCCTGTGGCAGCAGTGTGAACCGGCTTAACAAGCATGGCATGTCTCTGTGTGCCAGGGTTTGCTGAGCTCTGTGGAGCAAAGGCTGTGGTGTTGCTTCAGTGCCTCTGCTGGTAAAGCAAGGGTGCAGCCAAGACTTGGGGGCAGGCTGGCTCCTAGGTCTTTACTGTGGTGGGGGCCCAGATATAGTTGGAACTACCTGTGCTCTGTTGTAGGGCTGAGGATATTAGCCCTGACTGACAGGTGCCAGGCATGATTCCATGACCTTGGAATAACCCCTCTTATTTGTGAGAAAGACAAATTCATACACCAGAAAGTACAATTCATGAGAGCAAGTGTGTGGCCCTTCTTTGCTGCAGGAGACTCAGTTCTCATCCAGTGGAGCAATGAGTCCTGGGGTGGGCCCTGGGCAAGCCCTCAAAGAGACAGACGCATGGCCTTTTGGAAAGGATACTGTACAGAAGCAGCTCCAGGAGAACTGAGCTGGGCCTTGTTGGAGAGCACATCTGATCAGGGAGTGAAGGGAGCCTGGCAGGGGAGTGACTGGACCTTTCATGGTATGTGCCACCACCCACAGAGGGACCTGTGAGGTCTATCTCCAGCTTGCAAGTGGGGGAGTGGCAGCTGAGAGATAACCTTTGAAATTGGTGGGAAGAGGGGTTGGGGTGGGGGAGTGGCCTGCTTCTGGATTGTGTGAGTATCTTCCCTGGGTGTGGATAGCTTCTGTCGGGGGTTGGCCCACAAGCCCTGCTTTGAGAATGGTATGACCATGGAGCTACCTGGAGGAAGAGATGTGTGTGGGATTGCCACAGGTCGTTAGAGGTATGGCCCCAGAGCCAGTGCCACATGGACTTCTTCAGTCTCCAGAGCCCTTCAGACATCAGGCCTCTCCATCAGTTCCTGTGTGCCCCTGGCCAGGAGGGAGGCACTATTCTCTCACTACACTGCTGGTGATGGCCAGAGCCACAGAGTCTTAGAGGAGATGGGGGCGTGTTCTCCTTGTTTCACACTCATGTTAATTTGGCCAGTCATATAGCACATATTTTGGGGATCCCTGCTGGGTGCGGTCACTGTTGTAGGGAAGAGGGCAGAGAACTCTACAAGAGCTTAGCTTCTGTCACTGTCCTGGAACTTGAGAAGGCATGAGGGTGCTGGCCAGAGGAATACTGAGTGTGCAGGGTCAGCAGAAGCCAGAGCACACTCCTCTGCCAGTGCCATGGCAGCTGTAGCAACTCCAAGAAAGGCAGGTGCTAGTTTCTTTGGAAGTGCAGACCAGAGGCACTTGGAGCTTGGCTACAGGGGTGTTTGGGGTGCAAGTGCCTGGCGGAAGCAGAGCTTGCCTGTGAGGAGGCTGGGGATCAGGAGGCTTTACAGAGGAGATGCAGGGCTGGCTGGCTGGCTTCAGATACCACCTGCCTGAGTGTCCTGGGTGGTGTTCTGCTTCCCCCCAACCCTGTGTGTGCTCATAGGAGCATGGGGCATGTTCTTAGTAAACCTTGGAGTGGGGGGTGGGGGAACTTCATGTTTCCCTATGAAGGTGACAGGTGCCTGGTAGAGGATTATTGATGCTGCCTGCAGGGTCATGCCATAAGCTCCTTCTGGGTCTTCCTCACTGATGCTGTGCTAGGGTTTTCAAAACTCTATTGTGTTTTGTACTGGGGATTGAACCCAGGGTGCTTTACCACTGAGCTACATCCTCAGTCCTTTCTAGTTTTTATTTTGAGATAAGTCTCACTAAGTTGCTAAGGGTCTTGCTAAGTTGCCCAGGCAGGCATTGAACTTCATATCATCCTGCCTCGGCCTCCCAGGTCTCTGGGATTATAGATATGGGCTACTGCACCTGGCTGACTTTATCTTTTAGAGAAATTTTATTTCTTTTTGCAATGCTGGAATTGAAACCAAGGCCTCTCCATGCTAGGCAAGCGTTATCTCTGAGATATTCTCCTAGCCTATGTTTTAGAGAATTTTAATAACGAGTGCTACAAAAAGTTAATATAGATAAAGTTTAATCTTAAAAGTTTATATTTGTGGAATGACTTTAGGTTCCAAAACTCCCAAAAGGAACTTCTTATTTTCAGGGTTTTTCATTTTGAAAGACAGCTGGGCTTCTCTGGGGCCAGTGATGGCTGCCATGTGCAGAGGTTTGGGTCTTGGTGACTGCTTGGCAACCACAGAGCCTGCAGTTTGTGTCCCAGGGGTCAAGGGCACTGCCTCCTCTCCCATTCATGATTCTCTCTGAAAGGGAACTTGTAAGGGAACATTGAGAGCTGCAGGCTCACTGTGGAGAGGGGTCAGCTTGTGTCTGAAAATTGGAAGGATTGCAGACCGCCACCTGGAGCAGCTCCTGTGCGCTTTGTCACTTTCAGTGATGGTAAAGCCCTGGGAGGAGTTCCACCCCTCCTGGCCTGCTCCCACCAGGGTGGATGTCTGTGACTTTTTGAAAATGTTTACTGGATGCATGTGTCTCAGAACTTGGAGCCTCCAGTGGACCTTCTCGGTGATTGAGATCAACACATCTTAAGTAGTCTTTAAACCTTTAGACTCAGGAACATGTGGCTGATCTTGGGTGCTTCTCAGTCAGGCTGGATAGAGCTTTCCCAGCGTCGCCCAGTCTGGGAAGCATGACTGGCCAGTTGATGCCTTTACAGTCTTGCCTGCCAGCAGGCCAGGAGGGCAGTGTCACAGCCCGGGAGCCTTGTGGAGGCCTGGGTGGCCCCGGCCCTTTCTTGATGATGCCTCAGTGTTCTCCTGATTGGGCTTGGCAAGCCTGCCTTCCTAGCCACTCACAAAACAAGCCTGCTGAATGGCAGCTGGGCATTTTCCACTCATGGCAGGGAGCCAGCCATCCCTGCGCCCTCCCCTTCGGGGTTGACTGAAATCCCAGGATTTATGGCAGCTCTTGTCTTGTGCCTGATCACAGGATCCAGAGCTTCCTGTTTGCCCTGGCACTGGACTAGGAAGGTGGTGGGAGGCACCACTGAGCAGACCTGTCATCCTGGGAGGGCAAGGAGGTCTGCCTCTGGAGTCTGTTACCTCCAGACCCCACAATGTGTGGAGGCACACATTCTGTGTGCAAGACAGGGAGCAAAAAGGTGGGTCTTGTATTTATCATGAAGAGTTAAAGTCAGCAGTGATACATGAGTATACATGTTTACAGCAGCACAATTCACAATAGCCAAACTATGGAACCAGCCTAGGTGTCCATCAACAGATGAATGGATAAGGAAATGAGGTATATATACACAATGGGGTTTTATTCAGCTGTAAAGAAGAATCAAATTATGGCATTTGCAGGAAAATGGATGGAACCGAAAACATTGTGTTAGGAGAAATAAGTCAAACTCAGAGGGTCAGAAGGTCAAGGTCCAGTGTTTTCTCTTGTATGCAGAAGCTAGAGAGGAAAAAAATAAGGGTGGGGAAGATCTCATGAAAAGGGAGATGGGTAGAGGAAAGGGACTGGGAGGGAGACTGGGAGGGAAGGGGAAAGTGCTGGGGAGTGACATTGGCCAATCATATTGTTAAATTGTGTGCACATATGGATATGTAACAACAGTCCCTTGTTGTGTACAGCTATAGTGCACCAATTAAAAACATGGGGGAAAGGAAGGGTCTCGCTCTCAAGCAGCATTGGTGTCAGCAGTTCTGAAGTCTGTCCTGCTGCAAGCCTGTGGGCTGATGTCCCTCCTCAGGGTTCCTGACCCTCCTTCCTGCCTTGGACAGGACAGTGATGGGTCTTTCTTGTTCCTGCTCCTTTTTTCCTGAGGCCAGGAAGGGAGGACAAGCACTCAGTGACTGCTTGAAAGACAGTGTGGCCACCTACCTCAAGGGCAAAGAGTCAGATTTTTCAGGTGATCTTTATGTCTTCAGGAGAATGGAAAGATAGTGTTCTCTGAGGAGGCTGATAAACAGTAAGGTTGCCCTGGGCTGACCTCTTAAAGACCACAGGGAGATCATTAGGTTAGTGGAAAGTCATGGTAAAGAAGCCAAAGGCTGAAGTCACTTTTAAGACATGGGGAAATGGCTTCCGGGTTTTTATTTTACTTGTGAAGTAATGCCACCATGTTTCTGTACATTCCAGCACTCAGCAGATGTGGGGCTAACGTGTGCAGAGTGCTCTGCTGCCAGCCAGAGATGCCCAGTCGGCTGGTGGTGAAGGCCAAGCCCTGACACTGCCTGTGTTTGGATTTCAGGCGAGCCCACACCTTAACTGTGCTGTTCATCCTCACCTGTGCGCTGGGCTACGTGACTCTCCTGGAAGAAACGCCTCAGGACACAGCCTACAACACCAAGAGGTAGATGTTGGCATGGAGGGCGTGGGTCCTGGCTGTCCTGGGCTGGGCTCCCCACCTTCCCTCAGGTGTGTCTGTATCCCCCGGCTCCACAGCCGCTCTTAAACCTCTGTGGCAATTCTTGCCCTGGAACTGGCCACCAGTTTCCCAGATTTCATGTCACCTCCTAAATCACTTGCAGCTTGTGCTACAACAGCCTCCAGGGTGGGCTGCCGAGTCTGTGGCTGCCCCCTAGCTGGCACAGTTCTCCGGGGGTGTTGACTTTGACATACCAGGTGGATGCCCAGTGGCCACCTGTGACCTCATTTCTTAGGATTCTCCAAGGCAGACTGGTCACAAGGCTTTGCTTGCATCCAGTGCATGCACTCTGAGACTGACCTAGTCTCAGCGAGTGGGGTGAGCTGGCCTCGAGAGCAGTCCCTAGTCTTCACTCTTTGCACTAGGTGTACTCGGCTCTTGCTCCTGGGAGCCTCAGGCTGGTGCAAAGCTGCTGTTCCCTTTGAGGCCCAAGCCCCACTTCTGCAGTAGGACAGCCCAAGGAAGCCAGATGGGTCTGATGGGGACAGAAGCAGAGGGAGGTGCTCATGACCATTTGAGCTGGGGCCATGAGTCAGCCCTGGTTGTGGGCCTTGGGCTTGTGGGGTCTCATGGTCACAGTTCTTGGTAGTGCTTTGTTGATTTTGAAAAATGTGGGTGTTAGTATCTGCCGTGAGAATTAGGTAGACAGATGGTATGTATAGTATGCCACCGTAGATGATGCCAGGCCCTGCTAGGTGACCATATCCATGCCACGTTGCTCACCATGAGCGTGGGAAGCTATGGTACACCTGGGTGCTCAGCCTGTCTGTCCAGGACACTGGAGCTACCCACAGTAGACCTCATAATGGGGCTCATGTCCTTGGGTGCAGCCAGGCACTCTGGTGAGAAGTTGCTGTCCAGCTGCTGGGCCTGGGAGCAGCCAGCCCCCAAGACCCCTAGCCTTCACTGCACAGGCAGGTCTCTCCCTGCCTGGCATCCTGCCCACTCCTGCCTCACGCTCTGGGTGTTCCTCCCAGTCAGCTTGGCTAACTCTTCTTCTGTTCTCCAAGCCTTAGGTGTCAGCTTGCTCCCAGGCCCACCAGCCTCTCTCTGGCCCTTTGTGTGCCTTGTTGGCACCTCTCCTCATCTGCAGGACCACCTGGGCCTCAGGCAGCCCCCTGCCTCATTTGCAGGTAGAGCCTGCAAGCTTGTGTTTCCTGGGAAGTTGGAGACAGCAGGAGAGAGCGAGCCCAGGAGCCTCTGGGCTGGGCCTTGGTTCTGCACCGGTGCCTGTAAAGGGGCTGCCTGTGGGTGCTGAACGTGTGGCTGTGAGGCTGTTGGCAGCAGCCTGCATCTGCCCAGAGGGAATTTCCAAGTGGAACTGGGTCTTTTCTGTGGGTTCATCTGACAGTGCCTGGGCATGGTGGGGGGGGCGGTCTGTGGTGTCTGTTGGACACATGGGAAGAGAGCCTCAGGAAGCAGGACTTGGCCATACCTTGAGAAGTGTTCCCTGGGCAGTAGGGGAGGAGGGCCTCTGGTTCATTCTCCAGCACTGAAAAAACAGAAGGGGTTCCTCTATATGGGAAGTAAAATTAACCAGAGATGAGTCGTCCTGTTGTCCCTGGGCAAGAATTGTCACAGGGAGGAGTGAGCCCCTGCCCATGAAGAGTAGGCCTGTGTCACCAGACACCTGTCAGGTGAGTCACAGAGCTGCACTACCCCCAGGCTTTGCCCACCAATTCCTGGTTCCTGCTGTGAACAGCCCAGACCCAGAGGGTCCCAGAGCTCAGACCTACAGGGGCCTCTTCACCCAGCACTGGCCCCTCCTAGGGGAGCCCCGCATAGCCTACGGGGGAGAGGGCAGGGTATGTGAATCCCAGGGACTCCTGAGCACTTTTTCTTTGAAGTTCTGCATGGGGGAACACTCTGTCCCTTCGTCCTTCTTAGGCACCAAGGAACTGTCCCTCATGGCCCATAATTTGGCTGGTGTTGCCTGGACCTGCTCTTGACTTCTGCCTGGGATACCCAGGCACCCTATTTGCCTTTGCTGTCCATGGCTCTGCAGCCTCCTCCAGAAGGCTGCAATGCGTGTGCCTGTCCTGGTCCACTTGCACCCTCTCTGGACTCCCGTGCTTCACACCAGGAGCCCCATATCCCTCAGACTGGTGCAGTCTTGCTGCCTAGGCCCTTTCGGGCCTCTTAGAGGCTACGAGCAAACGCTCGTTTTAATTATATTGGAGTTGTTTTTGTTTAGGGGATTCAGAGTTAAACTCAGGGTCACTTTACCACTGATCCACGTCCTTAGGCTTTTTGTTGTTGTTGAGACAGGGTCTTGCTGGAATTACAGCCATGTGTCACCATACATGGCACATGAGAATTTTTTTGGTGTCCTTGAAGATAGGTTTCATATTACTTTTACTGTACTGGGGATGGAACCTAGGACTCACATTTTTTGTTGTTGTTTTTGGTGGTACTGGGGATTGAACCCAGGGGCATTTTACCACTGAACCATATCCCTAGTCTTTTCTTTCTTTTTTGTTTTGAGGCAGGGTCTTGCTAAATTGCCAAGGCTGGCCTTGAACTTGAAGTACCCCTGCCTCTGCCTCCTAAGTTGCTGGCCACTGTGCCCAGCTTGTTTTTTTTTTCCCCCCATGGTCATTTTCTTTTGTGATACCTAGGGATTGAACCTGGGGTCTCACACGTGCTAGTCAGGTGCTCCACCACTAAGCTATACCCCCAACTGTGTTTTTTGTGTTTTGTTTTGTTTTGCTTTGCTTTGTTGTTGTTTACTAGGAATTGAACTCAGGGCCACTTGGCCATTGAGCCACATCCCCAGCCCTATTTTGCATTTTATTTAGAGACAGGGTCTCACTGACTTGCTTAGTGCCTCGCTTTTGTTGAGGCTGGCTTTGAACGCCTGATCCTCCTGCCTCAGCCTCCCCAGCAGCTGGGATTACAGGCATGCGCCATGGCGTCTGGCTCCCCACCCTTTTAAATTTGATCTTGAGACAGGGTTGTACTAAGTTTCCAGGATGGACTTGAACTTGTGCCCCTCCTGCTTCCATTGCACCTGGTCATGTTGGGTTTTTGTTGGTTGGTTTGGGTTTTGGTGTTTTCTGTTTTGTTTTTAAGGTGGGATATCACTGTGCTGCCCAGGCTGGTCTCTAGCTCCTAGGCTCATGTCCTCCTCCTGGTGTCTCTGGAGCAGCTGGTAGCGTAGTCGTGTATCACTGTGCCCAGTTGTCTCTCTTCTCAAGCCAACTTTACTGTCCTGTAATTAAATGACACAGCCCCGTGAGTTTGGGTCAGCGCCCATTACTGTGTGCCCTCTGCGGTGTGGAGATGTGGACACTTCCTCAGCCTAGTGGCCTCTGACCCTGTGGCAGGGCACTGCACTTGGCATAGGCAGCTGGGTTTCTCACTCTGTTCTGGTTTGGTAAAATGGAGTTGCTTCATGTACTCTGTGTCATCCTGAGGATGATGGCCTGTGACATTGTGTGGCCATGTCTGTGGGTTGCTGACTCATGAGCTTCAGCCCATTTATATGTGGGAACCTTGGGAGAGATTCCAGATTTTCTCACCCTCACATTTAATTAATTTTCTACAATTTAATAAGTTAAACTTCTTTATACGTTTTAATTGTACAAAGTACACATAACTAGCAGATGCAGAAATAGACGTGCATTGAAAGTGTGGATTGCTCTTCACATGGATGACACAGAGACAGCACTTCACAGTCCTGAAGGGGGGCAGAACCTGAGATTGACATGCTCCCGCACCTCCTGCTCAGCCAGCTGCGGGTCGGGACTGGACAGAGCGGACAGAGCAGGCCCTGGACAGCAGAGGGCTCAGCAGCAGACCCACACAGAGCAGTGCACAGAGAGGGTGGTCTTGCACGATTGGCACTGCAGCAGCTGTACATCTGCTGCAGAGGACACCACAGACACTGACCTGCGCTCTTCACAGACATTTTCAGATTGGGCTACAGGTCAGCCAGTGTAAGATGCACAGCTATGAGACGTTGTTGGGGAGACAGGGCGCCCAGGTCCATGGGACGTCTTAGGGGGCAGCACCCCCAGTCTATGGGACATTTTAGGGAGACAGTGCCTTGTGCCCCTAAGTCTTGAGATGCCTGTGTAGGTAGGTCACCATTGGACCTCAGTGAGTGTCCATAGACATCAGTCAGCATCATAATTAACAGTGGATGTTGGTGAACCTCAGTAGATGCCAGTGGCCATGAGTGGCCATGATGGGTATCAGCCATCTGTGGCCCATTGGTGAAAGACGTGGTGATAGGTTGGACTTCATTAAAGTGAAAAATCAGGGTTTGCCAAAGACACGGTGAAGTGAGTAGGGAGGCAGGCTATTAGAAAGTTGGCACAGCATGCACCGGACAGAGACTTGTATTCAAAGCACGTTGGAAACTCCTAAAGCAGACTAATAAGAACAGAAGCGGTACAGGTGAACACTGGGCAAGCCAGGTGCGCCCACACCTGTGTCCTTGCTGGTCCGGAGGCTGTGGTGGGAGGATCACTTGAGTCCGTGATTTTGCAGCCAGCCTGGGCAACAAAGTGAGACCCTGATTTAGAATAACATAACATATGAAAACAGGGTGGAAGACTCCAACAGACACCTCACCAAGGAGGATATGTATGAGGCACATACCATGTAAGTGATGGCCTGTGTCATATGTCGAGAGAATTGCAAACTGCTGACAAGACAGCACAGTACTGAACCCTGTCAGAAGGGCTGACCGTAACCTGACCATGGCGGTGCTGGGAGGTCTCAACAGCTTGTGCACAGCAGGGGAGCCACAGAGAACCCAACCCAGCAGTCACCCTCCCAGGTGTCCCATTGAGCTAAAAACTTTCATCCACACAGAAGCCTGCAGGCGAATATTTATGGCAACGTTATTTGTACTGCCCAAAACTGGAAGTGACCACAACACCCTTCAGTAGTGAATGGAGGAAAGAGTGTGGGCCTGG